CCGTGCAGTGTCAGAAAAAAATAAATAAATAAATAAAGCAAGAAGAGCCTGGGCTGGCGGTCGGGATCTCTTCCCTCCCTCCGCGCCCGCCCTCCCTCTGTCCTTAAGGAAATGCTACCAGACACCCCCCACCAGACACGCTCAGCCTGGGCGAGGAGCGGCGGCCGCGGCAGCGAGAACAAGGGCACCGGGGGGCTTTCCTCCCCTCTTCCTCTCCCTCCTCTTCCTCCTCCTTCGCAGCAGTGACTTTCCAGGTGAGCGGCCGCCGCGGCTGCGAGGTTCCCCGATCGCCCGCCTCGTCGCGCCCTCCTCCCGCCCCTGTCACCCGGACAGCCTGGAGCTGACAGCCGCCCGAGGGGCTCGCGGCCCGGGGGCGGGCGGCAGGCGGGAGGCGGGCTGGAGGTGAGGGGGTGGAGAGCAGGAGAGCTGGGCGCCGCTGTGCGCTCTCTTCCCCGCGGAGGAGGAGACCCGCAAAAAAAAAAACAAACAAAAAAAACACCCCAAAGACAAAACCCAAAAAACATCTTAGGGGACTGTGGCACAAGTATCTGCCAAGTTGTGTGCGGGGCACTGAGGCTTCCCTGGAGCCCGGAGCAACTTGGAGGGTCTCCTGGCTCCTTAGCAGTCTTCCTCCCCGCCACGACTCAGGGGTGCTGGGTGCAGCCCGGGGGTGCGTGGAGGGCGGACCGGCCACTGGCAGAGCGGAGCGGCGGGAATCTAGGTCCCTCTCCGGCTCGGTAAGTGGCCTCGGCGCTGTGTTTTTCCTGCCTCCTCCGGCGATCCGAGCTTGTTTCACTTTATACTGAAATCGCCTTCGCCCAGCTCCATCCTCCGGTGCCGGGTGCCCGGTACTCCGCGCGCGCCCCCGGCCCCTTTCCCGCCGGCTCCAGGGGTGAGGGTCGGAGGGGGCGGGGATGGGGGAGCCCTCGGGAAGGGGGGTCGGGCGCGTTGGGAAACGCGGGGAATACCCTGGCCGAGGATCTATGCAGATGAGGGGAGGCTGCTTTGCGTAATGTCCTGGGGGGAGGGGGCCGCGCGGGAGCGCTGGAGGCAGGAATGTGCCTGGTTACTAATGAGCGACGTGCACCGGCGCGCACCGCCCGGCCACCGCTGCG